CGACATAAACTCAACAACACACGCTTCGTATTGAGGGCGGCCAAAAAAACATGTTCCTTGCTTGAAACAATGGTAAAGAAGAGTGCGACATTGAACACCGATGCAATATAGAGAAAAGACAACTCGTAGATAGAGTCGCGAAATTGGAAACCTATTTGCGATCCCTGTGAGGGTAAATGCTGTCGAGATCCCTCTCCATTTATTTGCTTTCGATCTACTATCGTGTCATTGTAATTTTATAAGTTCCTCATCTATTATGAATTATTAGTTACAGTTTTATTAAAATTCAAAATTACTTGCATCATATACTGCTATCGCTCTTAATCTTGAAAACACCTTTGAACTTCCTAATTACTAGAACCGTGCAACAATTAACTAATTGTGTTTCAAAATGCTGACATGCCATTACCCCAATTTAATGCTCACCTAACCACATTCAATAAATATGACTTTCACACTCTTCTTCGTCTTATATATAACATACATATGCATACCAACTTTATAATTCCTCTTATCTTATCTTCTATACCTAATAGATATAAAGAAAATGTCTGAAGAGACTGGCCGTAGAAATGAGAGTTCTGCATCGTCATCACAGGGAGAAAGTGCATTTGAAGATCTTACAATGGTTGAGTTGGATGATGAGAAAAAAAGTCATCGCAAGAATAGGCAGTTGTTGTACTCGACGCAATACCAGTTACGCGTGCAAAAAGAACGATGTACGATCCTCGAAAGGATGGTGAACAAAGAGTGTGAACGGGGAGACTGGTATGAGGAAGAGAAAAAGGAACTCAAAGAATACAGTCGCAGTGTTGGAGGCTCGTTTGCAAGCATTACGGGCATGGTAGCCGTAAGTGTGCTAAGTTTCTAAAACCTTTTATATTTTAATTCTCCCAATTAATTTTACTTTCCCTTGTGCAATTATTTTCTTATAAATGTTGTTCAAGTCGTAACGTTCAAGGGTGTTTGACCAATGTATTTCATAATTCAAAATTAGTATATGTAGTACATTCTGTTCACACAAATATGTAGTATGTCCTATTCAAGCATGCTTCAACGAAAGAAAGAATTAATTATTAAAAAAAAAAAGCTATGTAATATGTCTCACTCTCAGTCTCAATCTTGCTCTCGGTCTTGCAGTCTTTATTTTTTTCTCTCGCTATTGTCATCTCCCTCTCTCGCTCTCGATGATGCATATCCCATTGCTCTGTGTTAACAAACTAGCTCTCGATGAACCTATTATCGTTAATGTATAAGTAAGAACCCCAAATTCTAAACATTGTTCCCGTCGCTCTCGGTTCAATGCTTGATATACCAGTCACTCAAGTTAGAGAACAATAAACACATAAATCGAAATAAGAAAACTTCAATCGAACCCATAACCAACGATACTTTTCATAAAAAAAAAATCAGCTTTTCTTTTTTTCATTTTTTCGTTGTTCTTCTATATCTTCGTCAACTTCATTTTGCATTCGTCACCAATACCCATTCAACTTCGCCAACACGCTCCATTTTCTGTTATTTCACATCTATCTTCACCAAAATAATACATACGTTAAGTCCTTTCCGCTATCTTTCTCACCTTTTTTTTAATAATTTTGATTCCAGTTCTTTTAACATTATAGATTTCCCATGATGTTTTTGTTAAATTCTCGGTTTTGCATTTACAATTAACGGTCGATCGGTTGTGTATTTACAAAATCGACTGATCGATCGATTACTATAAATCTGACTAAAACCGACTGATCGACTGATATATATGTATTAAAAAACAAATCATTTACCGTCTGTTTTCCTCCTTTTCATTTTTGTCATCAAATTCTCCTTCAATGAGGTTGATTTCTCTCTCCTCTTTTTCCTTTTTTCAATTTTTTCTTTAATTGCTCCCTTATTGACGCGATTTATCTCCTTATGTTCCTCCCATATGTCATTCAAGGGGATTTTGGTCTTGACCGACCGATGTACACCCCTAATCAACAATGTGTTTTGGATTGTCGACATATTTAAATCAACATACAATGTTGTTTAATGGTTGTTAGGTTCCTTCAGCAAAATATTAACCCAATAAATATGTTTCATACGGATATTAAACTTTTTACTATTACATTATTGTATATTCAATAATATTTTTTTTATAACTGGAAGTAGGAGCTTCGTTCTCCAGCCCAAGGTTCGAGACCTCTAAATTAGTATGACCAAGAGTAGAAGTGATCATCGTTCGGTCGAAGTCAGTTTTGGACTCAAACCGACGCCGACCAACGACATATTCGGTTTCCGTCGGTCGGAGCTCGTCGGTTTTAGAAGGCTCCAGGATTCCGACCGATGAGCTACACCGACGGTTGGTCGGTTTTGATCGGTTTGGGTAAGAGGAAGGGTGGAAGAAGAAAAAATAGAAAAAAAAATATATAGAAATGGAAGAAGAAGATGTTGAAGGTAGGATGTGCCGGTAGGAACTAAGAAGTGGGTAGACGAAGAAGAAGAGGGTGGTTGTGCCGCCGTGGAGTGGGTTGCGCCGCCAGAGAGTAGGAGGAAAAAGCACAAAGTAAGGTTGTGAGTGGTGAGAGACCTGGAGAAAAAAATAGAGGGGAGAGTAGAGGGGAGAGAGAAAATGAAAGAGAAGAGAATGTTAATAGCCTGAAAAACCAGCCTCCATTAAAGGGTCACTAGACTACATTGTGTTTCTTTTTGTTTAAATAAATAAAAATACGTGGTTGGTTTGTCGGAAATTACTTTTCTGACCAAACCGACTGACATAATTCGATTTTTATTTTAATAAAATCGACCACGGCCTAAATTTTAATCAAACTGATCGACCACTATCGGTTCGGTCGGTTTTGATCGATTGGATCGATTTTTTGGTCTTATATGCTCACCCCTAACCAAGAAACTTCAAATCCTTACTAACCGAGTTCATACACAAAATCAAGTTACTAACTATTTTATTACACCAAATATATACATCATATATTTAATTTTTGGAGCTTTGTTATGTTTTACATTCCAGCAAACATATACTACATGTTTACATACTAATATAGCATATTATCATAAATACCATAAAATATGACTATGACATATAGGTTACATATCCAATACAACACAACATATCTTTTTAATGGGCCTTCTAAAAAATTAAGAAATTGAATCTAGCGAATAAGCTTGCGACACGTGGTGCTAGCATGCCCCTTCTCCAGGCGCACCTTTTTATAGTCGCACGAGTGGATCTTTTTCTCTTCAGCCAATTCTAACTTTTTTCCCTCCTTTTTAGCCATTTTTTCTTCCTTATATTTCCATTAAATCTCTACCGTTCATCTATTTCACTTAGATCTAATGGCCTACTTTCAGTCTACTCTAAATCATCATTTAAACCTAATATCATCTTCTTCCTCAAGCAACTTAGTGGAAAAAATCCAATCCAGCTCCCATGCTCTTGATTTTGGTCTCCAAATCTTGGAAATTTTATTCTCTCTACTCCAAAGGTCTCAAATTTTTCTCATTGTGTGAGAGACAAGTTTGATTTTTAGACACTTGCTTGATGCGATGCTTGCAACATTTAACCTACTTTAAGATATTTTTCTATTGTCTTGAAAATGAAATTGGATGGATTCTGAACAAGTAAAAAAGATTGTTGGAGTTCTCATTAGCCTCAGACAAAAGAATCGTAAGAGGGTTGGAAAGTGAAGTAGGCATTGCCGAGCCACCATAAAATTCTCTCCATGATGGGATTGCTCTACTAAATTTGCACACTAATTATTTTATTAGCTACTAACATTACTTGTTTTGTGTGCCAAAATTGTTTGATAATATTGGAATCAAAATTAGAAATAAAATCAAAATTAAAAATTGGTAGACAAGTCGTTATTCATCCCTAGAGTTGTCATTTGATTCCACAGACGAGTCATTAAAATGGTAGGATTAAACAAAGAAAAGTGAAAATGTATGAAATCCAAGTTTTCTATTTTAGATGGTGAAAAAAGATGGAAAGAAAGATGAAAATTGCAGAGAAAAAGAAACCCAAAAAAAAATGGAAAACTAACAGCTGTGGCAACTATTTTTTTTCAAATTCAATGTGAAAAATGGCTAGTGGTTTGTAAGGAATGACCTATTGGTTATTGAATTGCTCTTTTGGAAATTGAGCATAAAGCCATTAGACAAAAAAAGAAAATTCTATGCATCTTGAACACTAATGTAATATTGGTCTATAAAGTGGAGGAGATTTTGGCAAAATAAAAAAAAGGAAGGAAAAAATTGTTTTTTTAATTAGTGGAAGAATCTTTTAAACCTATTTCACAAAACATAGCAGCTAAAAGTGTCAAAAGTATATTCTTTTTCTAATAAAACGAAGTTAAATTATTCAAAATGAACTATGAAGTTGGTTTCAAAAAGTGGCGGCTTAATTTGTGTTCAATTGATGCTAATCTCACATGACAAATAAGATCAAACAAAAATTTAAACTTTTAAGACAAGTTTAATTCGTGATTAGAAATTTGATTTAATTAAAAATATATAATTAACATTCATGCCTCTAGTAGTAGTTATCAACTAAATATTTAATTCTTTATTTAAAAAAAGAACTAAATGTTTAATTCAATCTAAAATATTATTAATTGGTTTATTAACATATTATAAATTTTGAATAATTATAATTTTACAATATAATATATATTATATTTTACATGTTCCATTTTTTAACAAAATAAGATAAAATAAGTTTATAACTTTGAGAAAAGTATATTTCTCAAAATTTATATCTTTTTTTAATGTAATTTTCTATTTAAAAATTTCAAATTCAAAATCTTAAAAACAAGGAAAACAAAGATGTTTATTTTCATAATTTCAACTATTTGCATCACAAAATCTAAAAACTATTTTAAAAGACAAATCTATCAAACGGATATTCACTGAATTCATCTAATTCAATCAATTAAAAAACAAGAAACATACCAAACAAAGCCTTAAGCATCCTTAATGCATCTTATTCATTTAATACACTCTAAAAATGAAATAATGATATTTTGAGATCCAATCAATAACACATCAATATATATATATCTCTATATAAGATGAGAAAACTGCACGAAAATTGTGAAGCCGTTTCTGATAATTGTTTTCTCATCCAACAACTCATTCAGAAGGAATTAAATTGAATTTAAAGACGAGAGCTATTGTATTGTACTGATTATCACATAATAACCTAAACACCAACACGTTCACCGTTCTAACAAAAGGCTTTGGGACAGACAACACACATCATCTCCCAAATCCGAAAATCGACATCTTTTTTGTTCTTTTACTTTGTTTTTTGCCACGAACRAAAATCAGGCAGGCAGTTGTTTAGACAGACACCCATCTTAGGGAGGAGGTTGTTCGACTCCGACATGCACATCTCTAAGAAATTGGATGTCGTCTCCTGTACGTACAATTCGGGAATATTAGAACCCCTTATTGCTTGCTGGGATGAGTAGTACATGTTCGGAGGTGTATCTATCCCGTCCATATATAACTTTTACTTTTAAATTTGTATATTTGGTCCATGTACCTTAAAAAGTTCCTTAGAAAGTTTCTAATAAGTCTTTCGACTTTATATTTTCAAGTCTGTCAATTTAACTCGAGCCAAAGGATTACATAGTCAGCTGAGAGTTTCGTGGCATCATCATGTTAAACTAAAGAAATTAATGGTCATTCTACAAAACTTAAGTTGAAAGGACCAAGAGACCTATTAGGATCTCTTTAGAGCACAAGGAGCAAATAGACACAAACTTGAAAGTTCGCAGATTTATTAAAAACGTATTAGGACTAAATACATACCATCCTAAAGGTTTAAGGACCGAACTTATAACATAATTTTATTGTTTTAAACATTTTGAGATTTCCCGAGTGCAGCATGAGAAGGTGAAAACTTACCTCTTGGGTCGACTTCGATCTTCCTCGTAGTCCATTACTCCACCAGGTTCAGAGTAGACCTCCTCATGCCCTCTGAAGTCAATGTCGGCCTGCTTACAGTTTGTAACTTCTGCCACAATGTAAGTAAGACACATCGACCAAAATACCCGAGTATTGCACTAAAAACTCACTGTTTTATTTCAATATTTTAGCCACTCATGATCTACAGGTTATAGGATATAATGTAGATTTCAATTACATCTTCAAAAGACGACTTGTTTGTACATCAGCAACTGCAATTTAGTTCCAATTTCAATTTTTCAAATGGAAAAAAAACACACACACACAATGAATTTTATTCTTCTATATCAAGAAACTCACATCTTTTTATGTATACGAGTCTATGCCAGTGCCATGAGAACCATATAGCATAATTAGTAGTTTTTTTTAATTATTTTGTAATTTCATTTAAATGGTTAATTGTTTTAGTTTGTTACTGAGTTGCATCAACCACTTGTTTCTTCACAAAAACAAAAACAAAAATTGACACTCTAATGTATAATAAATAACATTCACTAACAAAAAACTGAACATTCTTCTTTTTTCTATATACATGAGTTACCGGGTCCAGCTTGAGCTCACCTAGACTACTCTCACAGTACAGCGGCCTAATCCCACACCAAGGTAACTTGTAAGATACTAAATCTTAATAGGTGGTCATCACGGTTTGAACTCATTACTGCTAAGCCCTTACTATTTACCTTGACCATTATTGACTACTATGCCAACTCATGATGGTTAAATAAGAAACTTTCTCTGATAACGAGTTATGTTCCTAATATGTATCAGATTAAGAAAACTCAGACCAGTTAGGATTTGGAATTTTAAAGTCTATCTGCTAATTGCATAAAATCAATAACAAAAATTTTCCACAGAAAAATAGTAATAGTAGAGAAAGAACCGTGAAAACAAGAGAAGTTTGTGTGTGCAGGTTTGGAAGGGCCAAGGAAAAAGCCACAGGCGCCCTAGTAATGCACTAATTTGTTCAGACACCCCAGGTCATTATCTTCAATAGAAACTACGGAAGTGCATAGTTTGAATTCTTTATTTGAAACTCACATCTTAGTTGAGCACAGGAGCAAATAATTGTACGTATTAAGATATATGAACACAATAATAAGAAAACATAAACTTTCCACGTCAGCAAGATGTCCAGCTTGTACAAACATATAATCACAAATTAATAAAATAGTAACCAAGGGTTAAACTTTTTGTCCCTATTGGGGAATTTAACAACCGGATTTTTTTTCAGATTATTCCAAGAATCAGGAAGTCAGTCTTGGTAGCATAGATTCTAATTTAGAAGCAGGAAGCGACTTTGGAAATTTTTCTTCTCTTGGTTTTTCCTCCTTTTCAGAAGATTATGTCGACCTTTTAGACATTATTGAAGATCTTTCTTTTCTATTTAACCCCTCAGGTGTTTGATGGTTAGTTTGGTGGTTGTTTTGGCTTCTCTTTAGCAAGTGGTTGTTTTTAATTCACAAGCTTTGAAGAAGTTTTTTACTCTTAGCCTCTGTTCATTTAGTTTTTTCTTTGGTATTAGGTTTAGTGGTGTTGCTTATGCAGTTTGTAGTTTGTTGGTTTTGGTCATTTGTTCCTTTTGTTGAATCTTCTACATGTTTGTTCTTTGTTGGGTGTTTCTTTCCTTTTTTCGCTCCCTTTGGGAGTTTGTAACCTTGAACAATTTTCTTCCTTTTCATGTTATCAATGAAAATCTTGTCTCTTGTTAAAAAAAATATCACTCACCCTACTCTATGGTGTTTTCCCAATTAGTTATCAGGAAAAAAATAGACAGAGCTGCATGAGGAAGAGATAGGGTTTCATCCTTCTTCCAGGATAATGGGGGAAAAGGCCCGAGATATTAGAAAACTGCCATTGGACTTTTTAGTTTGGTATTAAATCCATTCAGTCCCCACATTACCTTAGCTTTCTATCTTCAACACGTTCCCTTTGTATCAAACTCCGTTTTGATTCTAACTTTCTCTTTCTTCACTACTAGCTAACAGTTCTGTCCTCAACTAAGGTATCCAAGCATTTAATCCTACCTAAAACCTCCTACTTCTTAAGTTTGAGATCCCCAAAACATTATGATTCTTTTTTTTTTAATAAGAAACAAAGAGATTGTATTCAAAATCAAAAGAATGCAGGAGGCAACAGAACAGCCTAAGGCAGAGGGTCG